GTAATTGCTAAAACTTATCCCGAACCACCCGAAAGTGCCAAGGAAAAACCAGCCAAAGTCCCACCTCTGAAAAAAAATAAGGAGCAAAAATATTTCTCTGAAGAGGAAGAATAATTAAATCATGAAAAAAAAACAAAAGTCTAATTCTTGGCAAGTTTTATTTTAAATTACTTCTCCTCTTTTTAGCCATAATTGGATTATTACTGGCTGCCTATTTAACCCTTAATAAAGGCGAAGAACCAGTTTCCGCTTGAGGAAAAATTAAAAAAATTCCTAGTCTAAATTTATTTAAATTTTTTGGTTGGAAGTGAAATTTAATAATCTTTGCCGTTGCTTTTGCGGCCGGAATTCTTTATCGCTGGCCATTTTTACGATTGTTAGCGGGCTGATGAGAAAGAAAAAAATTAATTAAATTTGCCGAAGGAGTTCATATGGCCATGGTTTCGGCTGATGTGGGTCGTGGTAAAACTCTATTATTAAGTATTCTCGCCCGCCATCTACCCTATGGTATTAAAAAAATGGGTTTTGTTTCCAATGTTCCCGATGCCCAATTATTAAGTTATAATGATATTAATTTTGAGGAGCCAATATCCGAGATGGAAAATTACCGGATACCAAAATATTATTTTATTGATGAATTAAATTTTACTGTCGAAGGGGTTAATCACATAGAAAACAAAATATATCACAAAGGGGTAGCCTGATTATTACAAATATGCCGCCACCACCAAATGCGTGTGTGAATGAGTGCTACGCGGGATAATCATGTTTGGGTTCAAGTCCGACAAATGGCTAATTATTATGTGAAATTAGGCGGATTGAAATACTTAATGAGCCTTGGTCGGTTTACTTTTTACACTCAAAGAGTTCAGTTTTATAGTCAAAATTGAGATTTAGAAAAAGAATTTAATGTTACTATTAGCAATTTAGATTTTGAACTTTATGATAGTTATTGGCTAAAAGATACTAGTTATTTTCGGCCTACATGGGAAAAAATTGCCGCCGAGAAAGAAGTTGAAAAAGCCAAAAAACAAGCCGAACGGGAATTAGCGGAATTAGCCGAAAAAAATGCTCGGGGTAGACAAGGAAAAAAATATTTTTCATTTCCTAGTGAAATTAAAAAAGAAGAAGATTTTTCTGCAACTAGTCAGCCTGTCGCGGCTAATCCTCCTGCACCAGCCAAGAAAGAGGAAGCCAAACTCGTTCCCGAAGAAAAATCAGCCCTTAAAAAAAAGTTTCCCAACCATCGCAGGAGAACTTCCTCCTTGGACGATTTTATTTCTAATTATCTAAAAAAAGAGAAAGAAGGAAATGATGCATAAGCACTAGGCTACTAAAAATAAACTTATATAACATATATTATTAACAATACAATGAACACAAAACTAAAAGAACCCTTAACTGCCAATTGTCTAAATTGCCAAACTCCGCTAGTAGTTAAATATGTACGAGCCATCAACTCTTACAGCCAAAAAAATCATTTAGGATATTGGACTGAATCCAAAGAAGATTGTGGATATTATACTTGCGACCAGTGTTTATTTCGCCTTTATCACAATTATAAGTGGGAATTTAAACGGATGATACCGAATAAAAAGAAGCAAAGTTTATTTCGTGTCTATATTTATAATGGAACTATTAAGGGGCAATTGGAGCCACTTTTTGCTAGAAAACTAGACGTTAATCGAGCAGAGAGAGTAATGGTCTCCCATAAATAAAGAAATTGAATCCGAGTGAAACCTACATACTTTTAAGTTCTCCCTCCATCTCCCCCAAAATCACTTTCCTTATCTCTTCCCTAACTTTCTCCATACTTTTTAGAGAAGTAGCAATGCGAACTAGGTCTTTTTCTCATTCTCCAAAATATTTTTCCAACCTCAATAAATAATTAGGTAATTTATCTTTGATTCACTCCTCCCATTTTTTAATCCGTTCTTGTGGGCTTTCATTAGCATTTATTCTTTTCTTACTCAAAACCAACAACCTGGCCATCTGACTGGCAAAAATAAAATTATCAGTATCACACACTAAAATATTCTTGCTAGGATAAGGTTTTCATAAAGGTTGGCCTTGACGACAAACAGCAACCAAAATACCAAATTCTGCTCTTTCACCCACCATATCCTTCTCTAATTTCTCTAATCATTTAGGATCTCATTTGTCTTCATTCTTGACTTCGTAAATAATCTGTCCGACATTCTGTCCATCGGAGTGGATAATTTGGCTAATATCCGCCTTAGTCCCTACATGAGTGATTTTGGAGATGTCATCCTGCCCATTATAAGTTTCTTGTAAGCGTTCCGTGATATATTTTTCTAGGTCTTCCCCTTTTTGTTTACTACTTTTAGTGGTGCCTAATTTATAGCCTTCTAGGAGGAGTTTTAGTTCTTGGTTTTCTTTTTGGAGAGTTTGGTAAGCGGGAAGCAAGGAAGGGTTGGAGGTTAGTTGGGCGAGTAATTGCTCTTTATACTCTGCTTCTTTTTGGGAGAAATAAGATTGTAAATGGGCAATGGTGAAGTGATTGTTGTCGAAGTCGGAGGGAGTTAAAGTGGCTTGACACTTGGGACAAGTTAAAGAAAAAGTGAAAAGGGTTAGTGATTTTTCTTTTTTCTGGTTAGTAAGGGGAGTGGACATAATATTTTATTTTTACCCTAACCTGGTTAAGAGGACTCGGAACTTTTTTCTAAATCTAATTATCCCATTTAAAAGAGCAGTATTTATTTTTCTCTTGTTGTAATCTCTTCCCCTGCTCTTGCCGAGCCGCACCTGATTTAGGACTTTTTAATAAAGTGCCAGTCTCACAATCAAAAATATCTAACTCTTTACTTAATCGCAATTTTTTAAAAAATTTTATCTTATACAAATGATTATTTTTTTCTATTTCCGGCGGCAATTTGACTATCCCTTTTACTAGCACACAATCACTACGAATAGTTAATATATTTTCTGGCGAAAACTGCCGATATAAGTAATAAGTTTTTAATAAGGCTAATTGACTAACTGCTAAATGCCAAGGCAGATAATTATAATGATTAAATTTATTAGAACCTAGGACACCCCATAAAGTATTAGCCAACATTTTGCCTTCTTTTTCAGTCTTTTCTTCTTTTTTTAATTCATCGCAATAATTTAAATA